ATAATAATCACGAAAACAGTTAAAGCTGTCAATATTATTTCATACACATTTTAAAAGAATGACACAATCTTCTAAATCTTAATTTCTTTCTCTTTTTAATCTCAATTTTCCTCTTGTATTTATTGCTTCCTTTTATATTGTTTCCCTACGCAACATAGATATCACATTAGTATGTAAGGTTTTTTTAATCAAACAATTTACTTTTTGATTGTTATAGAGTAACGTAGCAGTAAAATTACGAGGAAAAATAACAATATAATCTGGGTCTTCAGAAACACATGAAAGATTTATTAAATTAATGTAGAACCTTGATAAACCAAGTTTTGATTATCAAGGCTTGATAAGCGATTTCATTTTATAAAAAGAATATTGCCGATTCCTACTTATTAAGATTCTTAAAATATTATAAATTTAAAATAAAATTTAAAAAAAAGAATACTTTTCTAGGCTTGATTCTTTTCAGGTGTAGTAGATAGGTATTGAAAATTATTTTAGTGATTTTCAGAGAGGTTAAAAAAGTATAAAGAATAACACAGAGACAACCCGTATAACATATTTCCGCATAGGTAATTCATAAATCGATTGATATTAATGCATGAAACAAATTGGATAAAATTTTAAAGCATATTTTCATCACAATCTTATGTAAGACAGTGCACAAAAGTTGTATGAAAACCAAAGTTTCAATTTCCAACTCCGCAACAGAGCTTAACACATTTTCTTGATTCTCTTATAGAAAAAGAATGGCCACTTTCCTCACTAGACTTGAATTCATTTTCTATTTAATCCATCTTGGATAGATTCTGCCATCCCAGTAAAATCCTCGAAATCGCAAAAATATTAGCTGGTTAGTTGCGGTTCGCAGCAGAAAATTTTGTGACTAGTTTACAGGCCTTGTTGCATTGAAAGTTATTTTCATCTTTATTTGAATGCTTAGTTTTTCATAAGCATTAAAATTTTACAATATATTTGTCCAAGTATTTCTCGTCATACTGTATGGATTGTGATTTCTATAGCAGAGGGCACTGTATCCTTTACTTCACCGAAGTCAAGCATCACTGGCTACGGTCAGTGTGCGGGTGGGTGACCACTTGGATCAGTCTGCGTAGGGACCGAGGGTGTGCGGTATTGGTCCTCGTTAAACTGTGCTACCGTAAAGTGCTCGACTTCGCGCGCAGGTCGTCGGGCTACCGAAGCGGGGGTGCCATCCCCTCCGCAGAGGATCAAAATTGTGATGGCATGTCTTCGGATCATCCTCCGGGATGTTTCCCAGACCGTCGCCAATAGCCCATTGTGCAGCTCTAGTGCGACGTAAATTAACAACAACAACCTTTACTTCAGCAAAACTTCCGGGTTATCGTATGCAGTATACTTTCCTGACAAATAGCTAGTGCTGGCCATTTGTTTACTGAATTCGATTTGTTGTTTATTGCTTGAGCAAATATTTGATATTTATTGTTAAACTAGAATACTCAAGTTCATATTACGGACATCAAAAATATTAATTTGTTACATATATAAGAACATAAGCTATTAACGAATATTACTTCAGCAATGTACTGAATAACCTTTCTTCTAATTTTAACAATGCGCACAAAATTATTACTCAAAGACAACTCGTGGAAGATAAGAATTACCAAGTTATGCTATGTACGCAATATATAACAATACAAAAATAAAAATATAACGAAATCAGGGCTTCAAAATTACCGGTTTCTTTGAAAACTAAGTCACAATGTCTCGTCTTTTAAAAATCGAAATTATTTTAAATGACATTGCCTTAGCATTTACCAAGACTAATAGATATTGCCTTAGCATTTACCAAGACTAATAGATATCTAATGAATCGTAAATAATTTGAATTCAGACTCTGATTTACAGTAAAAAAAGTACTCTTTTTGTTTCTTTTCTTTTTACAGTTACAGTTTTCAAAAATATGGTCCTCGTAGGATAAGCAACAATAAGCTAGTCGTGCTTTTATAACCGGAATTTTTCTAGATGTGTTTCTTAGTACTTATTTTTAATGAAGTTTCCATCCATAGTGTCTAGATTATAAAAAAAAGATATTTATAACAAAGGAAAAGCTGCCATTAAATATAAAATTCACGGTTAAATATTTAATAACAAAGCTGCTAAGTATCGCAATTTAAGAAAAAAAAGCGCAGAGGGAAAAAAAAAAGATAAAATAACGATACAATCTGAATAACTTTTGATCGAATTTTCTCGAACTAGAACTCAATCTTAAGGAAACTTAAAATAACGTCTGATTATGTTACTTCAAAATATTGTATGCACAAAATCATTTGCAAATTTAAGGTTTGACTCACGAACTATAAAGATTAATTTAAAAAACCTGAAAATACGATGATGTGATCAAAAGTTATTAAAAGTATCCGCCTTTTATTTATTTTCACGCACTGTGAAGTGCGCAAAATGAAAGATGGAACACCCTTAAAAAGTTTTGATTTTCACTACTAGGTCTCAATCTTAATGGTTCGGAAAACTGACCTCAAATATACTACACTATCAAATATGCTAAGAGCTTGTGAATGCTCTGTTCAGACTATAGTGACATCCCGGAGTTAGCGCGCAATCGCAAATTCTTAACTCCCGGAAAAATATGATAGTTTGATCTGGAACACACCATTTATATTAGGATCACCAATGGCAAATGGTGATTTCGTACCTTGATGTAACTTGTTAACTTTCGGTCTCGGTTCCAGTTTTTTCTTCTTTTTTTTAAATCAACATTTACAGCAGTTTTTGTCAGACATTATTTGAACATTTCATAATACCAGTTAAAAAATTTCATAACATATTACGATCAAACAATAAATTTAATCGCCACGGAAGTTCATTTTTTTAAAATTTTTTATTATAGTTATAAAAATATCTTTACTTCCGAGTCACATCATTTAATATTTTGAGTTTCAAGATTTGCAAAACTATATTTCGTTGGTTACTTTTCTGAAGTCCTAGTCACAAAATATAGTGCACGCTGTTGTGTCTTTGTAGATTTTAATAATATTTTAGATAAATAATAACGAGAGTCGACATTAGTTATAATTAGTAGTTTATTAATAGAATGAAAAACATGAGGCACGTTGTTACATCTTTTGGTATCATCAACTTATCAAGTGCAGTTGAAGTTGTAGTCATTTGATGTCTTACTAATAATCAATTGACAGTAGAAGTTGTAGTAAGTTATATCACACACCCCTTTTCAAATTTTATCAAATTAATTCAATACATCAAGAATAATCCCATTAAGCATAATAAATTAATCACATACATAATCACTTAAATATTGGGGTCGTTGTCTTATACGACTACTGCCTGGACCATTCACAGTCTCTGATCTAGAAACTGTATTAGTAATGATCGTACATTTATTTCCTGGAGACTCATCAGGATCATCATCATAATAATGACTGGCAGTACTACCACAATATTCATTGCATGTTTTATACAATTTTAGAAATCTCCTATTTCTTATTAAAGTTCTCCCAGAGTTTGTTTTGATTTCATATTGACGAGGACTTTTAGTTTTACCCACTACAGTAGCTGGTTCCCATAGTTTGGATTTGACATTTTGAACAATAACTTTATCTCCCTGTTTAAGTTCTTTTAAAATTTTACCAGATTTATCATAATAGTGTTTCTGCTTCTGTTGCCTCCTTAACAATTCTATGTCAATATCTTTAAAAAGTTTAGGATTAAGAAGCTTACTGGTAATGGGCAATTTAGTTCTCAGTCGCCTGTTGAACATTAGCTGAGCAGGGGATAAGCCTAATCCAGAAATAGGTGTATTACGGTATTCTAATAAGCCCACTGACGGTCTACGATTATCTTCAAAAGCTTTCTTAAAGATAGACTTACATATCCCAACTGCTTTCTCAGCCATCCCGTTGCTTTGTGAATAATTTGGACTCGTGAATATTAATGTCCCACCCCTTTCCAAAGCTTTTGAACTCATGGCTGTTAAATGGGACATTATCACAAATAATAGTTTCTGGTATTCCGAATCTGGAAAAAATGTCTTCTAACTTGAGTATAATTTCGGTGGCAGTCTTATTCTGAATAGGTGCAGTCTCAACCCACTTTGAATAATAATCAATTAATACTAAATAATCCGTATTATGAAAGTACATTATGTCAATTCCAATTCTTTGAAAGGGGCGAATCGGTATCTCATGTGGAATTAGCGGTTCTTTACACTGGGACTTATGAAATTTTTCACATATGGTGCATTTGGAAACCATAGTTTGAATATCTCGGTTAATACTTGGCCAGTACATTAATTCCCTAGCTGTACTTTTACATTTTGCAATACCCAAATGAGATTCGTGAATTAACATTAACATATCCTGTCTTAATACAGCGTTTCTCAACCTTTCAGTATTCGCGGCCCAGTTTTCAAATATAATTTTCATCGCGCCCCCCACTTGCAGTAAAATGTATGCAACAATAATGTATGTTGAGTATTTTGAATTCTGTCCTTAAATTATTTTTAACTAACTACCAAAACAAAAGTAAAGTAAAAATCAACAGCAATTGAGATTGCAGAAACTATGTTTGGAGTTAATTTTTCAAAACAATTACAGTTCATACCTCTTTCAAATGATACTGCTGCTATGAGAATTGGTGATACAGCTGAAAATGTAGTGTCAGCTTTTCTCGATGTTGCGTGACAAAATGTTTTCAATAAACTTTGAAGCAAGAGATATTAACTTCCTTCTGAAAAAATTAACTCAATAATTCTTGATTAATTCTAATGAGTTAACTCAAAAGAATCGCTAATGACTTCACACAAGAACTATCAAAGTAAAATCAATAAACAAATTATGCACTCTGAAAACAAATATCTTTTTTAAAGTCGGGAAACTTGTTCCTATCAGCAAGACACTTAAAGTGCCTTTTTAAAAGAAGTTTGCCAGTCCAAGTGTTTTTTCTAAAGATAATTTGAGTAAGTGAAAAAGTGATTTCAAAACATGACTCACCTTTGGAACCTGTGCGAAACCTTAGGTGCAGAAGCTAAAATTTTAAAATTGTACTATAAAATAAATGAAATTTTCTTTTACAATTAAAAGTATACGTGATATATATTAGAGATAGGTGTAAGATGCTACAGAAAAAATTCAGATACACAGACTGAATCAGAAAATTATAAAAAAAATCCTTAAGGCCAAGCCACCCTTGGCTCCCCACCTTCAATTTTGATTTAATAAGTTGTTTCACTTTAATAAGTTATTAAATGTGTCAAAATGTATTTTGTTTTCTATGTATATGTGCGCTTTCCTTTCATCCAGTTAATCAATTTTTTTAAATAATATTTTCTCTTGAATATTCTCGCGCCACCCCTCTGGTGTGCTCGCGCCCCACAGGTTGAGAATCGCTGTCTTAATATATTCGGAATTATAATCTTATCGTTTAGAAATGCAAGCCCTTCTAAACAAACTATGTCATTTTTAACTTTGTAATATTGCTTCAAATTTTCAGGTACCTTTCCCTTTTCGGGCCAGCCCTTTTGAAAGTATTCACCAATAAGTTTTAAATCTTTATCTTCTTCAGATGCTTTTTGAAATTGTTTAAACCTGCTTTCACTCATTGGTAAGATTTTAAAAATTGAATGCACCATGCTTAACATTTCAGGATCATCCGAAACTTTATCTTTTACATAAGCTCTAGACAAAGTGTCGGCAACATACATTTCTTACCTGGTAAATACTTTACTATGAAATCATAATTCAATAATTTAAGAAGCATTCTTTACAATCTAGAAGAAATTTTACTAATTGGCTTATGCACTATAGAGGTTAAGGGCTTGTGGTCACTTTCAACAACAATCATATGACCATAGATCAAATTGTGATATTTTTGAAAAGCAAAAACAATGGCCAATAATTCCTTTTCAATCTGTGCATAATTTTGCTCAGTCTCAGTTAAACTTCTAGATGCAAAAGCAATGGGGTGACCTTCTTGCAATAAGCAAGCACCCAGACCATCTTTTGAACTATCACATTGAATAGTAATTGGTAAAGATTCATTAAACACTTTTAGAACTGGTGTTGAACTAATGGTTGTTTACATCTTGTTCCGGACCCCATTGAAACTCTACATCAATTTTTAACAAATTTCTTAGAGGGGCTGTAACAGCTGAAACATTTGGTATGAATTTTGAAAGAAAATTAACCATACCTAACAGTCTCTTAATACCACTCTTGTCAGAGGGTTTCTCTATTGCAACAATAGCTTTAACATGGCCTGGATCTGCTTGTATTCCACATTTTGAAATGAGAACACCCATATACTTTACATCAGGAACTTTAAATTGAAATTTGTCAGGATTAAATTTTACATTATTAGCTTTGGCCCTCTCTAAAACTTCTAATAAAATGTTATCATGGTCTTCTTCATCCGCACCTGCAATAATTATATCATCGAAATAAATTTCCCCACCTTTAATATCCCCAAATAGTTTCTGATTTTTCTTCTGAAACACTTCAGGAGCTGAACTAATACCAAAAGGTAGGGGGTTAAATTTGTATCCACCGAAAGGAGAGTTAAAAGTGCATAATTTTGAACTTCTTTCATCTAACGGCACCTGCCAAAACCAATCTTTTAAATCGACCACAGAATAACATTGTTTTCCCACTAATCGGTTAATTATTTCATCAGCGGATGGAATTGCATGGTGCTCACGTTTTATCGCTTTGTTAAGATTTCTAGGATCAAGGCATATCCGTAGCTTCCCATTAGGCTTTTCAACCACTACCATACAATTAACCCAATCTGTTGGCTGATTAACTTCCGATACAATGCCTAACTTCTCTAATTCATTAAGAGCTTTTCTTAACTCTTTATATAAGGATTGAGGCACTCTTCTAGGAGCATTTATTACAGGAGCCACATCTGTTTTTACCTCAATGTGACAAGGTTCCCCAGGAAACTTTCCCAGTCCCTCAAACACAACTTTATATTTTTCAACTACTTTTATTTTAGATTCAAGAGTATCAATGCATTTGACCAATTGTAGCTTTTCACAAGCTTGTAAACCTAGGATAGGTTTTTATTTCACATCAATTACAATAATTTAAGTAACATATCAGAATATTTGTCAGTGCTGCACATTAAATCTATGGAACCAATAGGTTCCAATTTGTTATTTCCATATGACACTAAAACAACATCAGTTGAGCTTAAATTTTTTTTCACATTTAATGTCTCAAAAATATGCACAGACAAAACATTTACCTGTGTCCCTGTATTTAACTTAAAAGACACCTGCTGACCCTCAATTGATATTGTTTTAAGCCATTCATTACAATGTACCGAGTGAGCATTAAGCACACTATCAACAAAAAGACAAATATCATTATTGTCACTACTATTAGAGTCACAGGCAAATTGTACCTCATTCACATTTTTGTTGTAGTTGAACTTATCTTTGCACATCACAGCAAAATGATTCTTTTTTTTACACTTATTGCATAATTTATTATATGCCGGGCACTGCCCTCTTTTGAGCACTCTACCACATGACTGGCAGTCCACATTAGGATGCGGATTTCGAGCATAACTGCTACCTTGTCCTTGCTTTTGAATCACATCAATACTACTGCCATTTGTTGACTCCTTAATAGTTTCAACTTGGCTTCTGCTCAGTTCACATGCACGAACACTGTCAACAGCCTTCTGTAAGGTTAGACTGGGCTCGCTAAGTAATCACTCTTGCAGTCCAGTGTCTTTCACTCCAAGTACTATTCTATCTCGAGTCAAGCTGGTTTCCTGCTCTCCAAAATTACACGAAGCAGCCAGAGTTTTTAGTTCTGTCACATAGTTGTCAATGCTTTGACCATCCTTCTTAGAGCAGGAGAAAAACTTAAATCGTTCAAAAACTTCGTTACTTTGTGGAAAACAATAATCATCAAATTTTTTAATAATACTATTAAATGTCTTTTCATTATCTTCTAACTTAAAGGTATTATAGATATTTTCACCTTCATCACCGATTAGATTCAACAAGATCGCTATTTTAACTGCATCTGGTTTTTCATCTTTCTCCGAAGCTACAAGGGAATTATTAAGTTTCTGCTTCCATTTTGTCCAGTTTTCTATCAAATTGCCACTAAATGACATGGCTCCAGGTGGTTTGAAGGTTTCCATTTCAATTATCACTTATAAGCACAGGTGGACACAAAAAGTTCCATACACTACTGAACTACTAACTTACGCAGATCATTTACACATGGGTACGACTTTTTCCTTAGGAAAATGCTTTTCTGACACAATGTTGTGTCTTTGTAGCTATTTTAATAATATTTTAGATCAATAATAAAGAGAGTCGACATTAGTTATGATTAGTAGTTTATTAATAGAATGAAAAACATGAGGCACGTTGTTACATCTTTTGGTATCATCAAGTGCAGTTGAAGTTGTAGTCATTTGATGTCTTACTAATAATCAATTGACAGTAGAAGTTGTAGTAAGTTATATCACACACACAATCCATGATTTTAATTTTTGTTAAATACAATCAAATCGAACTTACCATTTTTGCTTGTTAGCAATCTTTAAAGTTCAATATTAATATTAAATGTGACGAAATTAAAGTTTTGGTTTGTAGCAAAATCATAATAAAAAATTGAATAACCCCTTCCCATCAAGTGTCCCTGTCTCCCATATTGTGTTTAAAACCACTCAGTCTTGCTGCTTATTAACCTATTCATTACATCGGTTCACATACTTACATACATACTATCACTTTTGCTAGTACTGTTTGTCTAAGATAAGTACTCTGCCCGCCTCAAAGTCTGCGGCAGTCTGGTGCTATGGAAACAAGAAGAGGGCATTTTAGGGAAGGTAGCTTCGATGATAGCTTGTATGGGAAGTATACCAGATTTGCTGACTCAGCCACCAGTAGGAGACTTATTTAATCTGATTCAAGCATTTTTTTAAAGATTCGCATGGATATTTCTTTCTGACTTAAAATGATTACCTTTATTCAATCGGTTCCTATTTTTTTAAGTGCAAAGGAAAAAAAGAAGAAAAAAAGTGAACAAATTCTGACACTAAGAGTAGTGCAGAGTTTTTTAATGTTACTTTTTAATTTTACGTCATCTATTATGAACATTCATTGATTGTTAGACGGTTTAATTTCTAAACTTGCACATTTTTAAAGCAATTAATTTCTTTTATTATTTGAATTTTCTGAAAAAAATGAAGCGCTTAAACTTATTAACTCTGATTTTAAAAGAAGATAAAACTTTTGCTGAAAATAGAAATAGTTCACGTTATCTGTGCCGGAGAAATATTAAATATCTTTGCTTTTATTTTTAACTTTTTGTTTGAAACTGAAAGCATGTTACCGCAACTAGGATGAAATTTAAAACCATTAACAAAGATTTTTATCAGCCCCCATCAAACCTTAAATTATGCTTTTGCTTAAATTACGTTTTCTTACTCGTATTTCAATATAACCTGTATAGTTTTTCTCACCATTTGTTAAAAAAATAATTCTAATAGTTTTTTTATAAGCGAATTTATTTTTTTATTAATAACCAATTTACTATGTATCATAAATTTATAGACGAGTTATTTATTTATAAAACATTGTACAACAATAATTTTCCGGGAGTGCGCAACACACCATCTTCTCCTAAACAAGAGACTTCTCTTTTTATTTTTCTAAGTGTGAAGTCTGATTTAAAATTTCGCCTTTTTTTAAATTTAAAAGGCACCTGTCATTAATCTATTCATTACCTCGGTTCACATAAGTGGACCTTCGTTTCTTAGCTTCTAAAAACACGCTATTAGAAAATTTATAGTTTTACTTTCACTGAATTCGTAGATATTTAAGCTTTCTCGGGATTCCAATAGATGTAGAACATAAGTTATTTGGGTAGACATTGGTAATCCACATGAACAGAAGTGATTTTTGAAGAATGAAGGTAAATCCACATGCTCGAAAATTTAACTAATTTTAAATATTTTTTAATTTAGTTATTCTGAAAACAATTTTATCTTTTGACTTAATAGCTCTGTGACTTGTATGAAGCTTTTGAATTTGCAATTACTTAATATTTAAAAATAATATAGTCAAGAACATGCAGGTCCACGTAAGTGTACCGTGGTACGTATGGTGAAATTTATGACAGCGTAATAGTCAAGTGAAATCGCATAGTACTATAAGTATTAAATTTTATGTCTATTTAATAATTATAATTAATAACATTTGCTTTTTTTTTAAATAGTCATTTTTCCCTATTGTTGCTACTACTTGCAAAAAAATATATAATTTTTAATCAAAATGTTTTTTTCCTATTTTTTCATCTCTGTTGCGTCGTAAATGTGGGTTCATTCGAAATGTTAACAAGATTCAAGCAATGGTCACACCAGAACTTCCAGGGGGGAAGAATTCTCTCTTCCCCGGTGGGACGCCATAGTTGTTGTAGTTCATTTACGTCGCACCAGAGCTGGCACCCCCGCTTCAGTAGCCCGACGACCAGCACGCGAAGTCGAGCACTTTACGGTAAAACAGTTTAACGCGGACCAATACCGCACACCCACTCGCAGACTAATCCAAGTGATCACCTACCCGCACACTGACCGTAGCCAGTGATGTCACAGTATATATATACATACACTGGTGTGCAAAAATTAAGGACGAAGTGGTTTTTCGAATGTAAGTTTGTACAGCAGTGTTTGTTGAAAATCGATAAAAATCATATCATAGGATCCTCAAAATGAAAGAATATAAGAAAGGTAAACAACTTGCAAAAAAAAAAAAATCCACATGAACAATAAAAAACTTTAGTGAAATATAGGCTTAAAACACAATTTACAAATGACCGAAACGTCCATTTCACACCGGATTGGCAAGGAAATTCTAGCCTTTCGTACGGGATACGATCACCTCTGACTGCTAGTCTGTCCATGCTTAGGATCAAGTTGTCAAGAAGCTCTTGAGGAATTGCTGTCCATTTCTCTTGTAGTGCTAATCGCAGCTGCGAAATTGTTGCTGGGGACGTGCTGCGAAGCTCCTCCCTAGAGTGTGCCACATGTGCTCAATAAAATATGTATTACAAATTTTAATAATTTGAATATGGTCTCAGTCCTTGCAGATGAGAATGTTTCAACCCAAAAGTATTTTAGGTTAGAAAAACTGAAACCCATGCCATTGAAAAGCAGAACTAACTCAAGGTGATTCAATTTGGTAGACTAAAAAGACGAATTATTACAATCTATATAGATATACATACAGTAACGGGCTTTAAAGAGACATAGGGAGGCCACTGGAGCCACCATATCATTTATGAATTATAAATGCTTGTTTTAGAGTTATTCTTAGAAAATGGATCCGCGCTTTACTCTAGTATTTATGTGAAAATTCATTTCAATTTGTATTTCGAATTGTAATGAAAGAATAACCCACCGTTAGACGATTCTAAAAGGCATACAAAATATTTTATTAGAATAACGCGAACGATTTTTTTAAAATTTACATAAAACATGTTGTTCGGCCTTAAATTCAGCTTACGCCATCACTAGAGGGCGCTATTATTCATGTCCTATTTTTCTATTAATTTTGTTGTTCAGTGTGTGTGTAAACAAAGAAGAATAAAGTTATGTTTAGAAGCGCGTGCTGTTCCTTGTCTCGTCTCATCATCGAATTGGTCCGTCCTAGCCCCAGTATATAATTTTTAAGAAGCTATTCAGAGGAAGAAATTGCATGCGAAAATCATTTTAAAGAAACATTTTCTCGGGACTCCACTGGCAGATTTGCTGTCAATTTTCTTTTTCGTGAATCATCTGCAGAACTTGGTTCATCTCGAAATTTTGCTATTCATCGTTAGCAACAAATTGAACGTAGGTTTGTCAAAAATCAGTCACTTTCTAAGCAGTATCATAAATTCATGCAAGATTATTTAGATCTCGGGCACATGGAATTAATACCAGAAACGGACATAGACATTCCAGCCACATCTAGTTTTTATCTCCCTCATCATCCAGTTCCAAACAAAATCGGGGATAAATTCCGTGTTGTTTTTTATGGTTCTGCAAAATCTTCAACAGGTGTTTCACTTAATGACGAATTGATGGTAGGACCGCAGTTGCAAGATGACTTAACAACATTGCTCATAAGATTTAGAACACATAAAATTGCTCTAACAGCAGACATTGAGAAAATGTACAGACAGGTTATTTTGAAGGACTCTGATTTTCAAAGAATCGCATGGTGTAACTCACCTTTTGAGCCAATTCAAGATTATCGACTCACTAGAATCGCCTATGGCACAGCTTCTGCGCTTTATCTTGCTACAAAATGTCTTCAACAACTAGCAACAGAAGCAGATAATTTTCCTTTGGTCTCCAATGCAGTTATGAAAGACTTTTATGTAGACGATTTAATGTCTGGAGCTGAAACACTCAGTAAAGCTCATGAATTACAAACACAATTAATGCAAATGTTATCAAGCGCAGGATTCAGTCTGAGGAAATGGGCAACAAACAGCAATGAATTTTTGAATTAATTGATGCAGACTTGTGCTTGAAAAATACATCCCTTGACATAGACAGTGACAATATCATAAAGACTTTAGTTCTTTGGAATCCAGCAGACGATGTGTTCATTTTCAAAGTTTCTCCAACATCCTTTGAAGATACCTTGACAAAACGCCTACTTCTTTCTACTATTGCCTGAACATTCGACCCTCTAGGTTGGTTGGCACCTATTTCAATTAAATACAAGCTAATTATGCAAGAACTGTGGAAACATAAATTGCAGTGGGATGAAACGATCTCTCCAAATATCTCACAAGAGTGGACAAAGCTTGCAGAAGATATGATGCTAGTAAAAGACATCAAAATACCAAGGCTCTTGTCACGTAACAAGCAATTTCAATTATTTGGCTTCAGCGACGCTTCAGAAAAGGCTTACGCGGCTGTCATATACTGTCGCTCAGTGCTAGATGATAAACAAATCAGTGTTCAACTTGTTGTCTCCAAAACAAGAGTTGCACCACTAAAGAATGAATCTCTTCCAAGAGTAAAACTAAGTGGAGCTTTGCTTCTAGTAAAGCTGATGAAATTTACGTGCAGTGCATTAAATATTCCAATATCCCAATCTCACTTCTATACAGATTCAACTATCGTTCTTTCTTGGTTGGGATCGCCATCCAGCCGATGGAAAACCTTTGTTGCCAACAGAGTAGCAAAAATCCAAAGCTTATCTTCCCCAAATCAGTGGCATCACATTAGTGGTGATACAAATCCAGCAGATATCGCAACCTGTGGTGTGTCATCATCAACATTATTCACATCTCAGTGGTTTAGTAGTCCAACATTTCTGTATCAACCGATTTCTTTCCTAACAAATATGCTCATATCTCAAATGTGTAAGCCTATGCCTGAAGAAAGAGTGTGTACTGTGCAGTCAATTGCCTACTATCAGCCATTCATCTGAAGCAAATGAATTGATAAACTAATTCTCCTTTTTCTCTAAACTTAAACGTATAACAGCATATTGTTTAGGATTCATTCACAATTGCAGAAACTCCCAAAGTAAGGTAACTGGTTTTGTAAAAACTGATGAACTTAATAATGCTATGAATGTATTGATTAAATTAGTTCAATCTGTTGAGTTTAATAGTGAGATCAATGCTTTTCAAAAAATCAACCCTTATCTTGCAAAAGCAAAATTTTATCTCTCAATTCCTTTTTGGATCATTCAGGTATTCTCAGGGTGGGAGGTCGCTTGCGACATGCAAATATCGGATACGACCAAAAACATCCGATCTTACTGCCAAAAAGGCATGTCTTAACTGATCTCATTATTAGACATTATCATCAAAATTTATTACATGCTAGTGCTCAACTTGTACAATCTTCTATTCAGGAAATTTTTTGGATCATGGGTGCTAGAGATATTATCAGACATATAATTACAAAATGTGTTAAATGTTGTAGAATTAGAGCATCTGTCACTAACCAAATGATGAGTGATTTGCCATCCAGTCGAATTTCACCAGCTCTTACATTCTTACGATGTGGAGTTGATTATCCAGACCCGTTCCAAATTAAAGCAGCTAAAGGACGGGGCTCTAAAACATTCAAGGCATATATAGCTCTTTTTATTTGCTTTACAACAGGAGCTATCCATTTAGAGTAGGTCACTGATCTTTCTGCAGGTGCCTTCATTGCAGCTCTAAAGCGATTTATTTCTCGTAGGGGTAAATGTAGCGACATATACAGTGACTGCGGTCCAATTTTAATGGAGCTAAGCGCAAACTAATGGAATATGAAAGACTAGCAAAATCAAAGGGTTATAATCAAAATGTTGACAAATTTTTGTCTGATATGGGTATACGTTGGCATCTAAATGTGCCCGGCGCTCCTCACATGGGCCTATGGGAAGCGGGCATTAAATCCACGAAATATCATTTAAAACGGGTTGTGGGTGATATCAAATTAACACACGAAGAATTTGAGACCCTCTTAGCCTAGATCGAAGCTTGTCTCAATTCACGACCTTTAACTGCCTTATCTTGTGACCCTAACGACCTATCGGCCTTAACACCAGGTTATTTTATAATCGGAAGATCATTAACAAGCATTCCCGAACCAAATTACACCGAATTTAACATTTCTTATCTTACAAGATGGCAGATAATCCAAAAAATGGGGCAGCAGTTTTGAAACGTTGGCACAAAGAATATTTGTGTAGACTGCAACAACGACCAAAATGGCTTTTGCCAACTAAAAACATCGAAGTTAATGATTTGTGTTTGTTAAAAGATGATAATCTGCCACCTACCAAGTGGAAAATGTGCAGAGTAGTCCAATTACACACCGGTATTGACAATCATGTTCGAGTTGTAACTGTTAGAACATCAGATGGCATATTTAAAGGAAATGTAACAAAATTGTGTCTTTTACCAAAATAAGCAGAAATTTGTACAAAAAAATGTCTTTATGTAAGTGTATTCATGTAAACAGTTCATTTAATGTCTTATTGCATTCGTATCACATTTAAGAATTTTGAAATAGTATTTCCAGGCGGGCGGCTTGTTATTGTTAATTTACGTCGCACTAGAGCTGCACAATGGGCTATTGGCGACCGTCTGGGAAACATCCAAACTTTTTTTCCGAAGACATGCCATCACAATTTTGATCCTCTGCGGAGGGGATGGCACCCCCGCTTCGGTAGCCCGACGACCTGCGCGCGTAGTCGAGCACTTTACGGTAGCACAGTTTAACGAGGACCAATACCGTACACCCTCGGTCCCTACGCAGACTGATCCAAGTGGTCACCCACCCGCACACTGACCGTAGCCAGTGATGCTTGACTTCGGTGATCTGCTGGTAACCGTGTCTTAACGATCAGTCCACTGCGGAACTCAAGACGGGCGGCATGTTCGGCCTTAAATTCAGTTTGCCTCATCACTAGAGGGCGCTATTATTCATGTTCTATTTTTCTATTAATTTTGTTGTTCAGTGTGTGTGTAAACAAAGAGGAATAAAGTTATGTTTAGAAGCGCGTGCTGTTCCTTGTCTCGTCTCATCACATGTAGTACGATATTTGTTTATCCATCATATTTAAACTATTATTTAAGAAAATAAAAATAACAACAAAATAATATTAATTTGCTAAACTTCAAATATTAAGCATAAGTAAGCCTAGTCAGATGAAATCTTGAAAACGCGTTAGCGGAATGCACTTATTTCTAAAGAATAGGAACTGAACATATTTATCATCAAATCCCACGGAAAACTAATATGGGACAAAACTGAAAATCTACAAAAGAGTTACGCTTAAATAAGTATAAGTCAAACAGAATTTCATTGCTGTTGAAAAGTCCTGAATATCACTAATTACCTTTTTAATAAAAATAATATGCATAATAAACTTTTATGCAAAAGCAGATTTTTTTTTTCGTCTTTTGGCTCACAAATTTTGATCTTTAAATGAGTTGTATAAATAAATGTAACTTCAAAATCCCTTGGGGTTTATCTTTACTGTTAAAATATGTTTATGATCATGTTAATCATTACATACATAATTGAACATAAATGCTTTGTAATATGAAGTTTAGTTACTGTTAAATGAACCAGAAATGAATAAAATTCGCAAATGAATTAAAATTCATTTATGTAAAAATCGTCAAATAATAAAAGTTAATTTCAAGAAATGCGTATGTATACAGAAAACAAGCCCGTCAGTTGATTCCTTCAAATATACAAAGAATGCATCATGATCCCGCAGAATACTTAAATAAACAAAGTATATTTACTGTACAAAATTGTTCAACTTACAAAACAATTTTGTTTAGAACAACACTTTATTCACTAATAAATGCTTAGTTTATAATTGATCAATAAAAAGAGAAAATTCGCAATTAATAAAAATGTTACATATAAAAACTGCTTCCTATTACTCATTGCTTTTATTTATCCAACTTTTGATTATATATTTTTGATAAAATAATACATGAAACGATATTTTTTAGGGTATAAATTATTTTATATCAGCAAGCCACGTATAATGTATTTTCTAAGTTAATGTACACATAAATCATCGGGAAATAAAAATTTCTTATTTTTCCCAAATTTAATCATAAAACTTTGGATACGCCCCTCGTTTATGTTATAAGATGGAATAAGCATATAAGAGGGAAAAAGCAATAACCTCTCATTTTAAACAATGAAAGAAAGATGAGTAAAAATTACAAACTTACCAATCTAATAGGACAAAACTGTTTAACGACAGAAAACCGCTCTTCGCAAGAGATAAATCACTCTCATCAACTTATAATAAACAAATGACGCAATTTCTCTGGATAAATACGTCACTTCCTTTCACCATTTTTTTTCACCTTTTCAATACAACTTCTGTTTTTTTGTTGTCTGTCAGTTACTTCTTTCAGAAACATAAGGAGTAATCTAGGCGTAGGGTTACTAAGGACTTTTTGAGATTCGATTACGGCATAATCGTTAAATTTGATTGTCTTAATTTCACATAAAAATCTGCAGGTCATTCCTTTAAATTGGAACATATCATCAAAATTTATGCAAGTAATTTTAAACAGATTTCAAGTTTTTATAAATGATCAGTCTCTGTTTGTTTTGAGACCAACAAAAGCTTTTAAATTCAGATTTTTTTTTAAACATTTAAATTAATATTTAGTAATTAATTAATTAGAAAATATTTTTATTACTGATAAAAATATTTTCTTAGCATGGATGTATTTCTACATTTTATGTGATTACTATGCAATGGTTATTAAAAAAAATATAAATAAAGAGTATAAATATTATGACTTGCTTATGTCTGTAAGCTGCCAATAATTCTACGAAATTAATGTTACTACCTGTTTTTTAATCTGATTATTGATTTTAGCACAACATGAACTTGACATTAATTATTATTATTATTTTTTATTAAAAAAACAGCTGATTTTGTATTAGAAGAATTGCAAAGGTGATGTCAAATATATTCTGCACTTTTTGAATAAAAATATTTTAACAAAAAATTATTTTAAGACTGAAGTTTATCCATCAAAGAAAGAAAAAAGCCACAGTTTCAGTGCCTTACACTTGAAGCAAAGTTATAATTTTAAACAGAACAAATCAACGTTTCGTAAAGAATTATCTGGTATTTAGAATGAACAAATAACTAAAAGCAATTTTTACAAAAATTGCCAACTTGGCGAGATTTTTCCACCTAGAGCAGGGTTTCTTAACCTGTGGTTCATGAACCCCTAAGGGGTCCATGAGTCCCGCTAACTACTCCTAATTTTTAAAACGTTTGGAAGCCTACCCATTGCTTGTAAAGGGATCTATGGAAGCTATAATTCTGTTTGCTACGGTGTATCTTCGCGAAGAGGGATTTTCCACGCTCGTGACAATAAAAACAAAACATCGTATCGATCGAATCGAAAACATCGAAAACTATCCCCCAATTCAATTTGTTAATTAAGGAAAAGCAGCAGCAATCTTCACATTAAAAATTTTAGTTATAAAAATTTTTTATGCTATTAAAATAATAAAATTAAATGTTTTCTAATTATGGATGTCTTTTTGCAATTATTTTTTTCACAGGGGGTGGTCCGTGACTTCTTAAAAAATTTTAAAAGGGGTCCATTATACCAAAAAGGTTAAGAAACACTGACCTAGAGGAAAGTTATAAAAAGGAATAATTCTACATTTTTTGCAAATTTTATGATCTCAGATGATGCAGCATAGGAGTAACTTTTTAAATAAACGCTTTTCACTGCCACAAAACTGGCTTTTCTGCAGTTATGCTCAATTTTCAGATTTACCAACAAAAGGCTAAAGATAAACTTAACAAACTCACAGTAGTTATAGCATAATATTCATTTTTAAGTGTTATCTGTCAGAGTCATCTAAAAACAGTCTTAAAATCGACGAATAATTCTCACTTTTTTGAGCCTAGACAATGAAAAGCTTTGGTGTAATCTTCTAAATACTGAAAAATATATCACAAATTCTTTTCATTTTAACAAAACAGTGGCTTTCTTTTCTTGACATTTTGCCCCGTTTTCATAATTAGAACAAGGCGAGCGCCTAAAATTAGGCAAATCGTACACTAAAAAGGTATGGATAGCTGTTAAAAATTCACACTTATCGAAAATAACGTGGAATTTTATAAGAGAACTGGGGGGGGGCAGAAAAATTTGTCTTCGTGGAGGACTTTTTGATGAAATTAACCAAATTTGCGTTTTAATGGAGAGGAAAACCACGAAACCTACCCCGGTTAGCCCGATGGCAAGGGACTCTATCCCATGATTCGTTTACTACTGAGGATATTTTACGTCGATACTGTGGTAGGTGCGAGCCGAGAGCGAAATCGCATCGATCAGTCATCGCTGGGATTCGAATCATAGAGTTGAAATACTGGGGTAGAGAGAGTGGAATAACCCCCAACCCATGGACAAGAAGAAGTCACGTGACTGCAGCCTAAACTTGCGGTTGACTGAGACCGATTCTATTCCCGTCCATTCGTTTAACATTGCGATCGTCTGATGCAATTAACAGTCTGTCGTTTCAATTCAGAAATAAGAATGGTACAAAAGTCCTGAGCATTTTGCTGCACGGAGAAGTTTTCTAGGGACTGTCCGATAACTTTTTACAAGAAAGGGCGACATTTTTTTTCACTTTTCCTATTTTAAAATTTTTCCGATACTCAGTCATGCTCTGATGCTTTATTTTACTAGTATATTAAAGTGTAGAATTAGCTTGATTTAGTGCAACAAATTCAGAAAACATAACATAGAAGTGGCTAAGTTGTATAGTGTGATGGATTGGTATGGAATAAACTGTTCAGACGGCCAAGGCTAACAGCTGGCTGAGGTGCAAAGATTTAACATCCTGAACCTTTCTTGTAAAATTTCAACTGCTTTTACCTTTGTATAGATCGTATATATTTTATTTGCTAGCTGGCAAAAAGATGTAGTTTTAAATGCGTTTACTATTTTTAAGAAAATTACATTTTTTATGGAGGGGCATTGTAATTTTCCTAATGTCTATAAAATGATTAAGGTTTTTTAATTTGTAAAATAAAATATTTTTAACTGTTACTTTTTAAGTTACTGGTTTTCTGTATAAAAATTATTAAATATATATTGACCTATAATAGTTGCATAAATTTACCTCATAAAAAGTTGCATAAATTGCAATTTCTATCACAATAAAAGAAAGGTTTTTTAATTATACGTTCGTTATTAGTTTCAATCTACATTTAGTACAAAGTAAAAATTCTAATTATTTTCTCTTTTATTTAAGTACTTTTTGCTTAAATTTCAAAAGCTTTTCTACTAGTCACTTTGTGTGTACAGTCCGCAAAAAAAAAAAAACGATATCACCCTGAATAACTTTCGTTCTAATGATCGGATTTTCACGAACTATGTCAATCTTAATGGTTCCGGGGGGTGACCTCAAATATGCTAATTAATTAGTGCTAACTATTAATTAAGTTACGAAATCAGACACAAAAACGTACTTTCTCTGAATAAACATGTATTTTTTCTTACATATTTGGATTCTTAACCTTCAAAATATAGGGGGTAGCCGCAATCTGGGAAATATGGTCCCCATAGTTTGGTCAGGAGAGCGATCCAAAGTTCGTACCCCTTAATGTTAATTTCACTTTTTACGTTTTTAGTCATATTTTAAAAACTAATAAAGCAATTCGAAGAAAATTTCACCCAGTCATAAAACTCATTTACCCAAAGATAATTTCACGAAAAAAATAATTTTTAATAATTGTTAATTATTTTTTATTATTTAATTAAATTAAGGATGAAAAATTTTTGAATTATAAGGTATGAATTTTTTTATACCATATTAATCTACATATTTTTCAATTGAAAAATCTAAAGTTTCAACTGTTTTTATTTATTAGAAGCTGAGAAAAATTAAAATTAATTATTTTTAAAAAAATAATTTGGCGACAATGAAGAAATGATTAAATGGAGCGATTAATATTAAAATGTGATAAACTTGCGAGGAACTTGACTTCGCGCGCTTAGCATAAAATTTCATTCATATTTTTTTCGCTAATAATCGTTTGCTTATCTTTTCATTTTTATTTTTTTAAGCTATAAAATACGATGTTTCTTCTTTAGTCGTCTAAAATTCTATTTGCAATTTAGTAAAGAAATTTGAATAAAACATTTTATTGAATAAAATACATTTTATTCAGAGAATGTGGAGTTTTATAAAAGCATGCTTCTGATAGAATATGATTATACAACAGATTGTGCTTCTTTAATGTGATTTTTTTTTATTTTTTTTTTCTCAATAACTGATAAAATTTCAATAATATACATACGAATGAATAAATTTGGAATAAAATATTCATCAATTTCTTGAATATATATTTTATAAATATTAATAAAAATACGCAGTCAACATTTTTAAGCATCTCTCACAACATCGCAAATTTCTCAAAATCTTATAGGGTAAACTAACCAGTGAAGGAATACTTAAGCTTAGCTTGTCTTTAAAAAAAAATCATAAAAATTTCAAAATTTGTAATTTTAGCTAAATGACGTATTTGTTATTAAATGCATGTCGACATATTTGTTATTAAATGCAAATTATGTAAAAAAAATTTAGATAACTTACATAATATTGTTTTAAGCTTTTGGTGGTTTAAATAATAAGTAGTAAGATAACCAAGTGAAGGAACAGTTCTTAAATTGAATAAACACTAAATTTTCCAGTGAATGAACACTTAATTTTGAGAATGTTTGATGCTCGTTAGGAATCCTTAGGCCACACAGATATCTGTCGCCCTGTAGATGCCTGAATTGACGGATGTTAACACAGGCGGGCATTAGGAAAAAAAAATCTTTTAAGTTTTCGTGCCCCCATTTCAGTATCTTAAGGGCCTTACGAGCTCTGTTTAAAAAGAGAGTATCATATCAGATATATATATATATATAAGAAAACAAAAATAATCATAGTAGCAGTATTTGGTGGTAAATGTAGCTTATCGTAATTGAAGAATATGCTGTGCGACATTTTATGGTGAATTTGCGAACGTAAGTTTCAGAATGTATCGAAACATGTGGATGCTATTTGCTAATCATCTTTATCCAAAGAAAACCATGTAACGTAAATATCTAGCAAAATGAAGCAATTTTTTAAACAATGAATCATACAATATGCAACATATTATTTCTATATCTTATTCTTAAACATAACATATTTCAATGTTTTTAAAATGCCACTAAACATTCAGCAATTCATTGAGTTATAGAAAAAAGAAATCGTAAATTACAGAAAACCTTGTGAATGTGCATTAGAATTACTATACAATCTACATTTTATTTTTCATGCACTTTTTTTTCCTTCAAACTTTCATGCCTAGAAGACTCGAT